CGAAGAATCGTTGTTACAACCAAGTACACATTTTACTGTTGCGTTAAACAGAGGTATAGTTAAAGATTTGCCCCCAGTAAATCCTCCCCGGCCAGGATACGAACCCATGACAAAGCGCTCGCGGAACGCCAGGCGAGTGTCTTAATTACCACTACACCACGGAGACTGGTAGACGGATCATACAGTGATTGCATGATCCGTCAAGCTCGCCTATAACGGCCTTCCCGTCATTACCATACCTCAGTCACAGGGCCAACTCCAGGCCCTCCAGAAGTTCTTATACCTACTCCACTTCAACTTCCACCCAGCATTGCATTCTCCACAGAACCCCCTGCATCACAAGCCAGCGCCTATCTACCCACCATAGAAAACGCGCAGACCATCCGTTCAGTGCACCCCATACTACAAGAAACTCAAACTATCGAGCCCACTGCAATACTGCCCATTGCTCTTGTAACAAGTATATTATGTCAGTAATATACTTTTCTCTAAACTCTCATTAGTTTATGTGCAGATAATGAGATGGGTTTGTTAATTCTACTTGGTCCACTAATTACGAATTCATATTTCTTGTTGACCAAACTACACACTATTAATAAATTACTATTAAGTTTTAGCCAAAGCAGCCAAAGGCGTATCAAGTGACCACTGTTCCAATGATTATTATCTCCCTAACAGAGATCGTCAGCATGATGCTTGACAAAGTATCTCAAGCACTGGAACAGACCAACCCTCAGTCAAGGAAGGAAATGTTAACAAAGGTAAAAAAATATCTGCTGAACTTATTTCTTCCACACCTCTACAAGCCCTATCGGACAATGTCGACGAAGTCGAAGAAGGTGACGAAACAGAATTGTTTCAGCATCCAATGGCAGTCTCCGCTTCAACAAAGAAGACACAAGCCGTAAGGGAAATCATTCCATTAGAATCCACTAGGGACTCAATGAATTTAATTACAACAGAATAATGAACAATAACGAGTCTCAAGATTATGCAATGGAATATCCAAGGATTCAAAAACAAACTTCAAACACTCAGAGCAGTGCTTCTCAAGGACAACATTGATATTGTTTTACTTCAAGAAACACTTACCAGGTCTGAAAGAAGTATTAATATCACAGGATATCAAGGTTACCACTGACCAATTGCACAAGGTGGCACCAGAGGCATTTTAGTACTAGTAAGAAATCATATCAATGCCACGGCAATCACAGAGTTGCCTAACTATGGTGAGGACGTCGAAATTATGGGTGTTAATCTCACTATGAGGAACTCAATGCTAATGAGGAACACACAAATACTTCTTCAATGTATACAGGAACCATTGAGAACACGATTTGGATCTCTCAGCCATCTTTGAAGTTGAGGTTTGTTGAGCTTAAAACCGTTGTTGCTTGTTTGTGTTACATCTGACCTTCTGAAGAAAATATCCTGATCAACATCCTCTTAACTTGTGCAGTATTTGTATTCTTACTTGTGCAGTGTAGTATACACTGAACGAATTCGCAATAAATCCCGCACTATATCACTTTCAGGCCATTCTTAAAGATTATACACGTTGGAAAACGCCCATTGCGAGTACTTGGGGCAAGAAATTGAAATTGAAATAAGTTTATTGAGGTAAAATACACACAAAGGGATGAGGTAGCTCAAGCTATTCTCACCCCGTTCAGTACAAGGTGTTAATACATACATAGACACACATCACAAACAATAAACATATTACCAAACCTTCTGAGAGATAAACATATACATTTCCTCCTTCACAAGTAGTATGTTATCAGACGTACACCCAAATACTTTTATGACCTAGATATACTGTATAGACAATTTGCAAGAGACATGCAGATAATTCAACAAAATATTACAGTCTTGGTGCAAAATTCTTATATCTCTCAAGAATATCATCAACCTTTCCGTTGTGACACATCCAGGCTATTTGTTCAGGAACAGTCCTTATCTCAGATTGGGGCAAGGTTTTTGGAGGCATGACTTTGGATCTTCTTTTGATCTGTTTTGGGCGTTTTCTTTCGTAGTTTCTTCTGACTAATCATATTTCCCGGTTGGCTGAATTTTATGCCCTTTTATATATATCATAATCTATGATGTTCATCGTTGATTTATACCGTCTCCAGAGGTTCCGATTAGCTAACAAAGCTCTTTTTACTACTTATGTCACCCATCTTGTTCCCTTTCTTTTCTTTTTTCCTTTTTGGCATATATCTTTGAACGAGTTCAGTAATGACCTTTCTGAAACTTTTCCACGATGCTTCCATGTCATGATCACCTATCAGCTCCCTCCATAAGGTGTTTTACAACTCCTCTCTCATTCCTTGATAATCTCCTCGACGGTAATCTAGAAAGTCATCTGCGTGGACCTTTACGCGAGTTTCTGTAATTGTATGTGAATTCAACACCAGTAATTCCATCTATCATACTATCATACAAGAGGCGCCACACATCTATGGTTGATCCAATAAAATCAGCAGACTTCTAGATGTTACTACTGCTCAGCATTGACTCGGTTACAAGTATCTCTGGGAATTCTCATTATCTGCTGATGTAGACCTGACCAAATGTAAACTGTCAACAAAATTATTCGCACACCCTCCGTCACTATGTGATGGAGCGCGAAAAGATACGCGAATTCAGAGACAATTCTATAACCAATGTTCCAACGATGTGTAAATATTTCATTCAAAATGATCTGCTACCAGAAATGTTAGCTAAATATCCCCAGTCTGCTAACTGTAGGTAGTAACTAAGTGACTGTAACCTATCCACCGCTGCCCACTGGATGGGGGGCGGTGTGCAGGACAAACATAAATTGTGACACTAGGTCTCCACATATTTCGGTTGCTTAATTTAGAACCTGTACTTGTGGTAGATCTCGAACCCATTGATGATGTGACGACTTATACTGAATTTTGTAACTAGCTCATCAAGATTGTAACTTGCTTAGCTTAATAAAATGTGAGGTTCAGTCCCTGAGCCCATTATGTGCCTCTGTAACCCTTTCCACTACCGCCCATAAGATGGGTATGGGGTGCATAATAAATGAACTAAACTAAAAAACAAAATATTCCATCTTAGAATATTAATGTAACAAGTGTAACACAAACAAGGAGCAACGGTTAAAGTAAAATACATTACTTAAAGGAGCACCATAATTAATAATTTTGTTGTATTTGTGTCTAGCTTCAGACACGAGCTTGTTACAATTATGTCCTAAATACTCGATAAATTAATTGTAAATGATTCTTTATCATTTATGTAAATGATTCTTTATCATTCCTCTTAATTCAGTAAGGAAGGAGTCTGAAGGGGGTTAATTTCATAGGGTAACGTTTCTATGGGCTTATAACTATTGGTGAAAAATTATCTCCTGTTTTATATCCTACATTGTGGCTTGCTCAGCTTGAGACCGTTGTTCCTTGTTTGTGATACATCTGATCTCTTATAGAAGAGGTCTGGAGTAATATCCTGCAAATTGTTCAGTTTATATTTTAAAAGTTTCGATGAGATCAGCCGTCATGCCTCGTTTGTAGTGTTGTTAGCCCTCTGCAGATATGAGTCGACTTAGTTCAGGAATGATTTTAGTTACCCGTCGTTGAACTTTCTCCAAAGCATGTATGTCTTTCTGAAGATCAGGGGTCAGATTCACGAAGCAGTTACGCACATACTTACGAACGTGTACATTTTTCCTCGATCTTTAACGGCTTTGGTTACATTTATTAAACAGTTTACAAGCATGAAAACTTCGCAATCAACTGTTGTTATTGTTATAAACAGCCTCCTGGTGCTTCGGAGCTCATTAAATGTTTAATAATTGTAAACAAAGCCGCTAAAGATTGAGAAAAGATGTACAGGTTCGTAAGTGCTTGCGTAACTACTTCGTGAATCTGGCCCCAGGTCTCCGTGCTTGGATACAATAATCTAGATGTGGGCACACAAGAGCTTAGTACAGTTGTACAGCTATCTTCTTTTACTTGGTCAAAATTTCGTTTGGGTATTCCTAGGATTTCCTTTCCTTTTTTACTGCAGTTCTCACTTGTGCAACTTTCCGTGATTGATGGATTCTGACTCCAAAATCCTTTATTCTTCATCAATCTGCAGCAAGGTTGAAAATTGAAAATGTTAATTTCCAATTTTGCTATAAATTACCTACTTAAAATTATATGTTAAAATAACGACCTGCCCGAAACGCTATGCGTGTTAATGGCTTTACAAGAATGTAAAAAACATCAATGCTATGTACTCTCATAAACCCATTGTACCTTCAAGTTCAAGTATGTTTATTGAGATAAGCAAGAAATACATCTCAAAGGGATAGAGTAGCTATTTCTACCCCCCTCTACTTCAAGTCCCTCAAGGGGCGCACAAATTCAGTACAAATAGACAAATAACATTATAAGAATCCCATTTAACATTGCAGGTTAATATAGTAAGTACAGCATATAATTGTTACACTATTGGGGCAAAATTCTTGTAGCTCCTAAGTATCCTGTCTACCATACCTTCTTGTATATAAATAAATAAATAAATATATAAATAAATAAATAAATAAATAAATAAATAAGCTGCTGTTGCTGATTTAGTAGTTGTGTCGTGCACTGTTATGCCCATAAAAATATGTGGCTGTTCTTGCATGATAGCATAATAATGAATAGAAGTGCTAGTTTAAATTTCACTTTGCCTCAAATTGACAAGGTTTTGTTGAAGTTCTTAGTGTATTGCTGTTCTAAGGTTGCTTATAGACAATCTAAAGTTATAGTCAACACCTTTTATGCCAAATTCTTTGGTTAGCATGCATTCAGATGACATCGTGAAATGGAATCCACATGAAATTGACTCTATTAATATGAATAATAGTAAAGTTTAGTATATTCGTGTCTAGCTTCAATGCAACAAGTAAAAATCACGTTTAATGGGGCGGGGGGGGGGGGGGGGATGAGGTTAGTCGGTGTCGGGAGTGGTCGCTGGCAGCGTTCGCCACTGCTCGTCAGGATACTGTCAGCTGCTGGACATCAACAGTCGTCGCCACGGAATATTTACCCTTTCTTTTGTTCCAGTCCCAGGGACATCTTATGTCGAGATATAGGATATTTTCCCCTACCAGGGCGACAGGTGAGAGGGTTTCAGAGTGTGAAAATCTGGCGGATAGGGTAAATATGGGACAAAAGAGTGACGTCCTTGGTCAGCAGGCTGGAGTGGACTTGTTTACAACACCCTTGTTGGGCTGAGGGTGAGTCAACAAGTGTGGCCACTTCCCTCAACACGTATCTGGGGAAAATAGTCCTTTGGGGGCATATTTTATGTTAGAATTGGAGCTGTGTAAAGTGTAAACTGGATCAGTTTACACTAGTGGTATGAGAAAGTGGGTAGAGAGTTGGGTACAAATGATGCTTTTCTTTGGCCTTGATGCCATAAGGCTTTAAATATACATTAGATACGGCAAACAAATCCATTGTCCCATAGTAAGATACATTTGAAGTCTAATAATTTGTGAGTATTGTATTCAGATGGAACTAGCCCATGTTGGATGTTACTTTTTTCAAGGACTGTACATAACTCCATTTACAGTCTCCGTGGTGTAGTGGTTAAGACGCTTGCCTGGCGTTTCGCGAGCGCTTTGTCCTGGTTCGTATCCTGGCCGGGGGAGGATTTACTGGGGGCAAATCCTTAACTGTAGCCTCTAACTCGACAGTAAAATGGGTACTTGGTTGTAAAAACGATTCTTCGCAGGGGTCGTATTCCAAGGACCGTAGGATTGAGGACTTGCCCGAAACGCTTTGCGTACTAGTGGCTGTACAAGAATGTAAGAACTCTTGTATATATCAATAAAAAATAAAATGTTGTTGCCTGCTACTCTTAAAATATTGGAAATATTGCAAGGGATGCCGAGTTGATTATATCATCAGTCTCATGTTTGGATAGTTCTGATGATTTTTTATTTTCATTAATTTATATATACAAGAGTTCTTATATTCATGTACAGCCACTAGCACACATAGCGTTTTCGGGCAAGTCCTTGATCTTAATATTCCTGAAAAATCGCCAAATCGTTTAACAACCAGGTACCCATTTTACTGTTGGGTAAACAGAGGCTACAGTTAAGGATTGGCGCCCAGTAAATCCTTCCCTGCCAGGATACGAACCCAGGCCAAAGCGCTCGCGAAACGCCAGGCCAGTGTCTTACCACTACACCATGGGGGGCTGCTGATATTTGATGATTGGAATATAGACTGATATTTGAATGTACTGTATTGAGATTCTGGCATGTCGGTAACTTGGCCTTGGTGAGGTTCCTATGTATGGACCACATTTTATTATTAGACATTTCAAGTTAAATTACTTTAAAGGTCCTTATTATGTTTTATTTTGCAGTGAGAAACATTTTATTGTTGTTGCTCCTCGCATTCACCGTCTTAACAGTACAGTACTGTAGTGGTTAAATCTTAAAGAAAACAAATTTCTTTCTAAATTAAAGAAGTAAACCAGATCATTGTTGAATTAAACTTGGTAAAAATAGATTTTTTTTTTTAAATTATTGCAGTACAGAACTTAAAAAAAAAAGGAAAAAAAAAAGAACCATCAGCTGTAATATTTAAGGACATGTGTCAAAAGTACTATTATTTTATGTATATACAAGAAGGTACATTGGGTTGTGAGAGTACAGTACATAATATTGGTGTTTGAGTGTTACATTTATGGAAAAAACCACTAACATGCATTGCATTTTGGGCAGGTCTTTAATCTAACTGATAAAATTAAGTGATAATAGGTGCATTGTAGCAAAATTTGAGTTCAACAAAGCTACAATATAAATTGATAGCATTGATTATATAGTACTGGTGAAGATGCCTCTCTTAAGTACCAAAATTTTGGAGTGGGTAGTACAAGGTAGTACCATGTGCATTTGGAGCACAAGATAAGAAACTATAAGGATGCAATTGGGTACTTTTTGGTGTTTCTTTTGAATAAAGTATAGGGTGAATTTTTTTTTTTAATTCATTAGGGAGCGAGTTTCATAGACTGGGGTCCTTTCATTTGCATGGTGTTTGCACAGATTTAATTTGACTATAAATATCAAAGGTATAACTGATGTGGTGGTCTTATTACATCTATCAAGGACAAATTTCAGATCAGAATTACCATTTAGGAATAGGGTTTTGTACATGTATATAGTACAAGAGAATGTGTGGAATGGGTGTATGTTTAGGAATTTAAACAGAGAGGCTGTGTTGTCTGAAGACAGAGTTATAGTTCTGATGGCAGATTTTAGCTGGGTTATAATGGCTTGTTATGGAGAACAGTACTGTAATTGAATTTAAAGCCCGTGGAAGCTTTTCACCACGCAAAATATTAGCTGGGTTAGTTTTGGAATGGCAAAATTTATAATCATGTGATTCCTATTTGACTAGTTTCATGGTATTTAAAGCAAATCAAAATATGAAAATTGGAAGATTTGAAAAATTGGAAGAGTTCTTACAATCTTGTAAAGCCACCAGCATGCATAGCATTTCAGGCAGGACTTTATTCCTAATTTTTCCCAGGAATATGACCCGCCAAATAGTTTAACAACCAGGTACCTATTCACTGCTGGGTGAACAGAGGCTACAGTTAATGATTGGCGCCCAGTAAATCCTCCCCGACCAGGATACGAACCCAGGCCAAAGTGCTCGCGAAGCGCCAGGCGAGTGCTTTACCATTGTGCCACGAGAACTGCAAGACCAATAATAACGAAATTGTTTTTACTAAAAATTGAAAAATGGGTGAATCCTAAATTATTCCTGAACGTTTTTATGTATTGTTTCGATTGGAAAATACTGGATTGAAATGCAGTTATTTAAATTGGTGAATTGTTATTTAGATGTGCGTGTCCAGAAAGAGAGATCAGTTTCATTAGCCTTCTTCATGCTGTTTCAGAATTACTTTCCATTTAGGTCAAGGTATCTCTTTTAATTAATTTGGAATATACTGTATGGGTATTGCAACCATTTAGTCAGATAATTGTTTAATAAGGCAGGTTGATAAGAAATTTAGGTTCATTTAGTACATTACTGTGTAATAGATGTAAATACTGTAGTAACTATAACTTATTTGGACCATATGGGAAGGACCGCTCATCAGATAAGCAGGAATTCTTACCGGCAAAGTAAAAAAATTAATATACAGTAGTCTCAATTTTTTGTACCACAATCAACATGATTCAAATTTACATACACACACAAACTATAAATAAAAAATATAATTTAAAACAAACTTCAGTTACCTTGATGTAGTTGTCTTCTTGAATTATATTGTAGATCTTGAAATATGTGGTTCCTGAAAATTTATGTACAGTAACTTGACACAACACAACACTAGAATTACTGTGCATGAGATTGGCAAGGTCTGTTTTGACTGCTAGCTGCTGAAGCATCACTAGTTGAAGGCTCTTGGTTTTCTGGCGAGGCTTTACTTTTCCTCTTCACAATATTATGCCTTGCTTTAACCCTGCAATGGTGCATTGCAAGCAGGGTTGTTTCATTGATGGTGTGCCCCAGCAAGCATGGTTGTTTCATTGATGGTGTGCCCAGCAAGCAGGGTTGTTTTATTGGTGGTGTGCCCCAGCAAGCAGGGTTGTTTTATTGGTGGTGTGCCCCAGCAAGCATGGTTGTTTTATTGGTGGTGTGGCCAGCAAGCCTGGTTGGTGGTGTGCCCAGCAAGCAGGATTGTTTTATTGGGTGGTGGTGTTTTATTGGTGGTGTGCCCAGCAAGCATGGTTGTTTTATTGGTGGTGTGCCCAGCAAGCAGGTTGTTTTATTGGTGGTGTGCCCAGCAAGCAGGGTTGTTTCATTGATGGTGTGCCCAGCAAGCAGGGTTGTTTTATTGATGGTGTGCCCAGCAAGCAGGGTTGTTTTATTGGTGGTGTGCCCAGCAAGCAGGGTTGTTTTATTGGTGGTGTGGCCCAGCAAGCATGGTTGTTTTATTGATGGTGTGCCCAGCAAGCAGGGTTGTTTTATTGATGGTGTGCCCAGCAAGCATGGTTGTTTTATTGGTGGTGTGCCCAGCAAGCAGGATTGTTTTATTGGTGGTGTGGCCCAGCAAGCATGGTTGTTTTATTGGTGGTGTGCCCCAGCAAGCATGGTTGTTTCATTGGTGGTGTACCCCAGCAAGCATGGTTGTTTCATTGGTGGTGTACCCCAGCAAGCATGGTTGCTTCATTGGTGGTGTACCCCAGCAAGCATGGTTGTTTTATTGGTGGTGTACCCCAGCAAGCATGGTTGTTTTATTGGTGTGCCCAGCAAGCATGGTTGTTTTATTGGTGGTGTGCCCAGCAAGCATGGTTGTTTTATTGGTGGTGTGCCCAGCAAGCAGGGTTGTTTCATTGGTGGTGTGCCCAGCAAGCAGGGTTGTTTCATTGGTGGTGTGCCCAGCAAGCAGGGTTGTTTTATTGGTGGTGTGCCCCAGCAAGCATGGTTGTTTTATTGGTGGTGTACCCCAGCAAGCATGGTTGTTTCATTGGTGGTGTGCCCAGCAAGCAGGGTTGTTTCATTGGTGGTGTGCCCAGCAAGCAGGGTTGTTTCATTGGTGGTGTGCCCAGCAAGCATGGTTGTTTTATTGGTGGTGTGCCCCAGCAAGCATGGTTGTTTTATTGGTGGTGTGCCCCAGCAAGCATGGTTGTTTTATTGGTGGTGTGCCCCAGCAAGCATGGTTGTTTTATTGGTGGTGTGCCCCAGCAAGCATGGTTGTTTTATTGGTGGTGTGCCCCAGCAAGCATGGTTGTTTTATTGGTGGTGTGCCCCAGCAAGCATGGTTGTTTTATTGGTGGTGTGCCCCAGCAAGCATGGTTGTTTTATTGGTGGTGTGCCCCAGCAAGCATGGTTGTTTTATTGGTGGTGTGCCCCAAGCAGGGTTGTTTTATTGGCGGTGTGCCCAGGTTGTTTTATTGGCGGTGTGCCCCAGCAAGCATGGTTGTTTCATTGGTGGTGTGCCCCAGCAAGCATGGTTGTTTCATTGGTGGTGTGCCCCAGCAAGCATGGTTGTTTCATTGGTGGTGTGCCCCAGCAAGCATGGTTGTTTCATTGGTGGTGTGCCCCAGCAAGCATGGTTGTTTCATTGGTGGTGTACCCCAGCAAGCATGGTTGTTTTATTGGTGGTGTGCCCAGCAAGCATGGTTGTTTTATTGGTGGTGTGCCCAGCAAGCATGGTTGTTTTATTGGTGGTGTGCCCAGCAAGCAGGGTTGTTTTATTGGTGGTGTGCCCAGCAAGCAGGGTTGTTTTAGGCCTATACAGATTTAGAACTCCCACACGAACATGGGGCTCATATTTGCTTCCTCGGGCTTCCTCCAGTAACCATCTCTAATTAAAAAAAAATATATATAAAGTCCCTCTCTTTCCTTGTAGGGCCTTAGTAGGAAGACGAGGACCATGTCTGGCACATCACCATCTTAATGTGCTGGGCTGCCATAGTAGGAACCATTGAACTTTTAACTGCAAATGAGTGATTATCATGTATATACAGTATTTACAGGCAAACTGTGTGCTGTGTGTTATAAGATTTAGGCTTATAATTATATTGTGTAATTAACTAAGTGTAGTTACAGGATGAGCTATGCTCATGGTGTCCCTGTCTTCCTAGCACTGTCATATAATGCTTTGAAACTACTGTACTGACAGTTTTGGCCTCCACCACCTTCTCGCCTAACTTGTTCCAACAGTCTACAACTGTTTGCGAAAGCGAATTTTCTTGTATTTCTTCTGCATCTTTATTTAGTTAGTTTAAATCTATGACCTCTTGTTCTTGAAGTTCCAGTTCTCGGGAAATTTTCCCTATCTATTTTATCAATTCCTGTTACTATTTTGTATGTAGTGATCATATCGTCTTTTTTTTTTTTTTTTTTTTTTTTCCATATTCTAGTATTAGCATATTTAATGCTTCTAACCTCTCCTCATAGCTCTTGTCCTTCAGTTCTGGGAGCCACTTAGTGGCATGTCTTTATACCCTTTCCAGTTTGTTGATGTGCTGCTTTAGATATGGGCACCATACAACCGCTGCATATTCCAGCTTTGGTCTAACAAAAAGTCGTGAAACATTTCTTTAGTATTTTGCCATTCCATGTATTTAAAGGCAATTCTGAAGTTAGAAAGTGTACCATAAGTCCCCCTCACACAATGTTCTTAATGTGATCCTCGGGTGATAGTTTTCTATCTAGAACCACCCCTAGATCTTTCTATATCGGAATTCTTTAAAGGTTTCTCACAAAATTTATATGTTGTGTGGGGTCTGTTTTATTCCACATTCCATAACATGGCATTTATTCACATTAAGTTCTATTTGCCATGTGGTGCTCCATATACTTTTCTGTCCAGGTCTTCTTGAAGGGTATGACAATTATCTAAGTTTCTTATCCTTCCTATTATCTTAGCATCATCAGCAAACATGTTCATATAATTTTGTATTCCATCTGGTTGATCGTTTATGTAGACAATGAACATTACCGGTGCAAGAACTGAACCCTGTGGTACTCCGCTTGTGACATTTCTCCAGTCCGATACACTTCCTCTTATTACTGCCCTCATTTTTCTATGTCAGAAATTTTTCATCCATGTTAGCAGCTTACCTGTCACCCCTCCAATGTGTTCCAGTTTCCAGAACAACCTCTTACGTGGAACTCTGTCAAAAGCTTTTTTAGGTCCAGATAGATGCAGTCAACCCAACAATCTTTCCTGTAAAATATCTGTGGCTCAATCATAGAAACCGAGTAAATTTGTTACACAGGATCTTCTAGAATGAAAACCATACTGACCGTCTGATATTATATCGTTTGTCTCCAGGTGTTCTATTCATTTATTTATTTTTTATTCCAATACTGTATTTTGACTGTTACACTTGTCAATGGTACAGGTATATAATTGAGGGGGTCTTCCCTGCTGCCACTTTTGTAGATTGGAAATGTGTTAGCCTATTTCCACACGTCTGCCATGACTCCTGTACACAGGGATGCCTGAAAAATCAGGTGAAGTGGAATGCTGAGCTCGGGTGCACATTCTCTCGGAACCCATGGTGAAACTCCATCTGGGCCAACTGCTTTGTTCTTGTTAGCTCTTTAGCTCCACTTCATCTCTAGACACCTCTGTGCTCTTATGTTATTCTCTGGAATTCTTATTGTCTTCTTCTCCGAAGATTTCATTTTGCAGAAACACACTTTGGAACTTTGCGTTTAATGTTTCACACATTTCATTTTCTGTGAATCTGTACCATTTTCAACCTCTGAATATTATCCTTTACCTGCATTTTGTTGTTTATGAATTTGTAGAATAGGCCTGGTTCTATTTTACATTCATCCGCTATCCCTTTTTCAAAATTTCTGAATTTGTGTGCGCGCACCTCACACAAGTTAGGACACTGGTGGTTACCAAGTCCATCAAAATGAGGCTACTCTGTCCCTGGAGACCTTGGCATTCGCAGGTTCAAATCAAATGCTAGTAGACTTTAATCCATCGTTCATATATCTAAGCATTCACAGGCAGAGTTCTATACATATTGCAGAAACCCCGAAATTTATCACAAGCGCAGTCCACGGCTTAAAGGTTTAATCTAGATGTTTGGTTTCTGGACTCCAATAGTTTGAATTTCAGTGAAATATATTTTATCTAGCCATTGTATTTGAATGGATTTAATTGCCATTTTTTTAATTCAACTTCATTAACAAGATATCAAAAATTTGCTTATTTGAAAGGTAATACTGTATAAGAATTTTAAATATCTTTACAGTGCAATAATTTAATATAAAAACTTCATTAAGTATTTTCCTTTTTATATATTGAATTTTTAACTTTATTTTAATTTACATTTTTGAGATTTGCCTAAGGGCTGCAGTAGGAACTAGTGTTCCACTTCTGCCCTTATTTGACAGGTTTTCTATGAATGTCGGAAGGAACAGTGTCGTGTCGCCTGCCATTTGCCAGCTGTCTGGGTCCGTCTGCAGAAGACTCGGACGACATTGGATACACCAATATGGCGCGTCAACCAGTTATACTCAACGTGTACGATATGGTGAGTACTGGGAAAAATTATTCTTTTTTGATAATTTTAAATTTTCCAGTGCAATATTTGAGTTAAGTTTGTAGTTTAAAGACTATGAAAGCAAAGGTGCTTTTGAACATGTTTGTGAGATATTCAATACTATCTGATGCTGTTTTTGTGTGTATTAGCTTGGAAGAATTTAAGTCTTAAGTCGTCCAGGGAAAAATCTAGTATGTGTGTGTTGGGGGGGTCTAATTTTCAGCCATGTTATTGTGACTTACTATCTGCATATGGATAATAATTGGAGAGAAATTGTAGCGTTTTTTGTCGACATATGTTATGCTGTTCTTGTATAGTAAAAATCTCTTTTTAATTACCTTTTGTGAAAGGTAAAATAATGCATTTGGGCATAATGAAAAATCAAAAAGCACTTGAATGCATTTATGCAGCCATACAGTACAATAATGTATTCTCAGTTTTATATTTTGTGATTTTTAAAAGTAATTTTTATTTTTTGTATTTTTTTGAGGTGGCAAGTGAATGTGTTAAAAGAAGGTTTGTTCATAGATATTGTGATTGTGCTGTATATGCCATGGTATTGATTCATTTATAACTTCACCTGGTAATTCTTATAATTTCAGTACTGGATAAACGAATACACCTCTTCCATTGGTCTTGGCGTTTTCCATTCAGGGGTAGAAATATATGGCACAGGTAATCAAACTAGTCCATGAGGACTAGTTTTTTGTATTTATATCATCTTTGTGCTATAAATAAATCCCAATAATTGAAAAAAGTAGTCAATGTTAATTTTTAGAAGCAAATAATTGGCAGAATAATGAATCATCCTTCATATTTTTGTGAATAATTTTGGTTACAGTATCATATCTTGTCACTAGTACCACATTTGCTCTTTTTGATTACCTTCTCATTCTCCTATCAAATGTCAAGAGTTATTGACAGTACAGTGATTGGAACATGCACTAACTCGGGTGCCTTTTCCAGACTATTTTATTTTTTATCTTCTTCCTCGAAGACTTCCATTTATGATAGTGTTTTATATTTTCAATGTTAATTCCTCTATATTTGATCCTCTTTGACGATGATAATTTTCAAAATCGGACAAATTTATAGATAATTTTTAATTAGTTTAGAGTATATTGGGATATGACTGATGAACTTGCCATTCTATTGTAATGTTAGCTGTATATTAGTTAACTTCTGTTAGCCTTTTGTGTGCATTATATATATGGTACTGGGATCAGTTAAGCCCAGAATTAAAATTGAGTTTGAGAGTATTATTGCTAGGGTTTTATTAGGCCTGAGAATGTTGTGTATAAATGCTGTATCGCAGAGAAATGATGATGACTGTAGATTGAAAGATAAGGTTGTAGAAAGATAAAGAATGTAGAAGTGGAATTGTAGGAAAGCTGCAGATAAGAGAGGTTGATAAAATGGAATGGTGTGTATGGGGGGTAAATGGTGTATATGGGGATGGGGGGGGGGTATGGTGTTTGGGGGGGTGGGAAGGGTGTGTATTGGGGAGGGGGATTTACCAGAAGGTGCACAAAAAAAAAAGGTAAACCTTGCCAGAAGGAAACTTGGACAAAAATAAAAAGCTGTGATTATATTAGTGTATATAATACATAGAGAAACATGTAATGGACAAAGTGCATTGCAGGATAGTAATGGCAAGATTAAATGAAATAATTGAGAAATTGGTCAGTGATGTAAATGGATGGTTTCCATGGTAGAGTAGTTGTGTGGATCAGAAATTTGCTTCTTTAAGAGCTAGTGGAGAAGGAATGTGAAAGATTGTGTGATGTACAAGGTTTTTATGGACACAGAGGAAGTGTGTGACAAAGTTAATAGAGAAGGCATCTGGAAAGGGATGAACATGTTTGAAGTTAATTGAATTCTGTTAAATCATGAAGATATTTTTTTGGTAGAAAGTAGTGCATGCATTATTTAATGGTTTAATGAGTGGCTGGGTTGATATTAGTGTATTCCATGGTGCAATGTACCCATGGTTCTTCAAAATTTGAACAACCAATTGTGTAATTTAGAAGACTATATCTTCAAAAATTGTGATCATTAGTGGTATTTGTCTTTCCCAGAATTTGCATATGGCGGGCATCCATTTCCATTCTCGGGTGTGTTTGAGATCACGCCCAGAGACGCGGAAGATCTTGGGGATCAGTTTAAATTCAAGTAAGTATTATTTTTCCAAGTGTACAATACTGACTTCTCTCAAGAATATTTTAACCTGTGTATGTTTTAAATATTTATCGCAAGAAAAAAGGGCAAGCATATATTTAGCAAGATAAGTTGTTTAACTTTGGCGCACACAGGTCTGTATTTGAGGGATATTTATTCTGGGTAAAAGGGAGGCATGTGTGCCCTAATGTGCATGTGTAGAATAATTTGAAATGTGCAAATTACTCTGTAATACCATATATTTTCAGTAGGCTAAACTTATCAAAGCCTAGACATTATAGAAAATGTTTCATGTGTTATTGAACAAACTACATCAGATAATGAAGAGTTCCTTCTCTGGTAATTTTGTTGTCTAAATAATGAATCCCAACATAACCTATTTACCTATTTGGATACAGACTCACGGGGGTGCGTGCGCTTTCATGTAGCGAACGTTCATGGTGTAAATTTCACGTGGCATGACCACACCCTTTCACACCAAAATCTTGCACCTCACAAATGTGGTGTGTTGTGCTAATTGGCAAGTTCTTTTTGGTCTATTGTACATTCTTCTGAAAGAAGTTTCCATGTTGTATACATGCCTTGGTTTATTCTTGCAAAATGTTCAGCCCAAACCTTGCTCAACTCCTTCCACATCTTTAGTGAGTGTACAAACCTATTTTATATAGCATATTTGTTTGTTAGACAGTGGTGAGTGTACAGTATTTGGTAAGACAGTAACATTTAGGTACAGGGGTACTCGGTTTAAGAATTTAATCCGTTCCTGGAGACAGTTCGTAACCCGAAAATTTGTACTGTAAACTGAAGCAAATTTGCCATGAGAAATAATGGGAAATGAATTAATCCATTCCTGACTCCCCAAAAACTTCACTTCAAAGTACAGGTAAATTTTATACCTAATTCACCCAAATCTTCACTACAAAAGTATGTTCAAGTTATTACTTACCCTTGCTGATGACTCCTGTTGGTGTATGGAAGATGGTGAAGAGGGGGGGAAGAGGAGAGATGTTACTGTTTGGAAGGGGCGTCCTCTGCCATTATAACATCTGGCAGTGAATATTTCTCTGGAATGCACTCTCTGGCACGTTTTGCCTGCGTACCATTAGGTCCTGGTTGTGGCTCGCTGCTCGATTTTCTCACTTTACTCACAAGGAAATGTTCCATTGAAGATTGTTTTTCCCTTTGCAACACTTGTCTGTAGTGAGGCATCACATTGTCATTAAAAAGATCAATACAACGGCCTACTACAGCTTTACCTGGGTGATTATTTTCAGCAAAACTTTGCAGTCCTTCCCATACTGCACACATTTTCTTATTTAATGAGGAAGGGACATTCTCTACTGCCTCCTTCTTCCCCTAAAGATTTGTTGTACTGCCTAGCTAATTCAACAACACGAGTACCATTTTCATGCTTACGAATGATCTCTTGTTTTTCCTCTATGGTCATTGTCACATATGATTTCTTGCCTTGAACCTTACCACTGGCTTTCTTCAGACCCATGGCGAGATATACAATAACAACTTTTATGCTCAAATAGCCAAAAATCCGACAAAAAACTAAATTCTTGTGAAGAATTCAGGCGGGATAGTCACTGGGCATGAGGCACTGGTAAACTGAGGTGCAATCGCCGTGCCACCATGCGGTAGGTCGGCTGTACGCATGTCAACAAACTCGTATCCCAATTCAAATTTTCCTAACAAATCGGGCTCGTAACCCGAAAAGTTCGTAAACAGGGGCGTTCGTAACCCGAGGTACCACTGTAGTTGATTTATTGTGATGGTGGAAAAGACTGACGTTCATTAGCCTCTGGAACTGGTTTGTTGTTCCATATATCATCTCGTCTATGTAACATGTTTTCTAAGAATTGATCAGAAGAGAACGTACTGTATCACCGAACTGTTCAGTTTGTTTTATTCTATTTTTATTTTTTTTTGTAGATATCTAAAAAGAGATCTTACATTCTTGTACAGCCACTAGTACGCGTAGTGTTTCGGGCAAGTTCGGGCATCCTATGGTCCTTGGAATACGACCCCCACAAAGAATAGTTTTTACAACCAAGTAACCATTTTACTGTTGAGTTAAAGCGTCTTGCCACTACACCACGGAGACTGGTAAAACTGTTGGTAACTGGTAAAACTTAAAAAACTGGTAAAAAAAATGTTGTACTGCATTCAAATGGTGCAGTGCTCCATAGTCTGTATCCAAATATCACGTTTGCCATGGGTATGTATGCAGATATCAGTTATCATGGGTATGTATCTAAATACTGTAGTGTAATGCAGCACCTCGGGAAACAGTATGCAGCATCTTCATTATTCAAATGGTTCTCAAATTACTGCCGTTTGTGGGTTGACCTTCTGATTTGACCAGATGCCCTTCAACGAGTAGAAAAATCATACAGTACTAGAGTGTACTAAATTTACATGCATTATGCATCGAGAGATTGATGTAAAAAAAAATTTAGATCCTTGATATTGCTTTATACAGTGCTGTAGAGGCATATTATGACAGTGGTAAGTTTGTCATATAATAAGTTGGTTATATTTTCACTGTAAGAATGGAAAAACACTTGTAGAGTGCTGGTAAGCTTTATATTTTTTTTTTTCCCTCTCAGTAGGAGGGTTACAGGTACAGTAGAGTATTTTAAATGTTGGCTGTGGAAGAAGGCGAGTTAGAAATACTGACCGACTTGCTTCATACATTCTTTAGACAAATCCGTTGTCCAACCTGCCACTGGATTTTGTCTTGCTCCATAGTGGATACTTTTTCTATATCTTTGATTTTAACATACAACTTACAGTTAAAAGAATTTTACTTTTCATATATCTATCTTGTCTAAAATTTCAGACAGAGTATCCATCTAGGTTACACCGACTTCACTGAAGACGACACGAAGCGAATTGTTGCAGAACTAGGCAAGGATTTCCGAGGAGATCGATATCATTTGATGAATAAAAATTGTAATCACTTCTCGTCTGCCCTTACACAGGTGAATATAAATTTCTTGTATATTTTATTGTTGATTTTTGATTCTTTGATTTAAATGCATGCTTTTGGTGACTTATGCAATATGTTTTCAGAAAAGTAATTATTATTAATACAGTATACAGTAAATTTACAGGGAATGCAAAAAACCTACAGTACAGTACATAAATTTCATAGTAGGCTTTTGTATTTTTATAAAAAAAGTGTTTTAGGCATACCTTAAGATTAATGTGTATAGAAGGAAATCGCAATAATGTGATACATCAAATGATACATAGATTGATTCTCAATGTTAGTGTGATTTCCTTGTGTATTTGAAGGGAGCATATGGTGAACTGTTACCCACTGCAGAGTGCATGGGAGTTGTGTAAAAACTTGGATGGGCTTCAACTTGAGGCCTCCACACTTCCTGTGGATACAGTGGAATCCCAGGTTGTATAACCTTTACCACATGGTGGTCCAGGGGTAAGGTACTCGGTTGGAAGTACCCAGCAACCTGGGAGTACAAGTGGAGCAAAGCAGGTTCGAATCCCTGCATTGCTTCAATTGACTTTCTCAATGATGTGTTTTAATTAGTACATGTTTGGGATAATATTCTTGATACTATGAGGGATTTTAACATGTCCCTGTCATGTACAGTGCATCTTTTCTTACATTCACAATTATGTCCTCCCTTGAGGCTTTTGGTACAGAAGAAACTAGGCATTACTTTGAGTTTGTAAACAGCATCCTGAGCTGCATTGTGCTGCTGCTGCCATGGGTTTCACGATCTGTGTGTGTTGGGTTAAGATCATGGTACAGTCGGATAGGACACGTGTGATGCTGATGCTACCAGGCATCAGCACAAATGCATGGTATATCATACCATGCATTTGTAAGTTCATGTACAAAAGGTTAGGGAGTCACCAGAGACCAAATCAATCTGATCAGGATAACACATTCAAAACAGTCTGTTCTCAAGCTTATAGTAATTAAGACCAGCACTGTACTGTCACACATGTGACCATTAATGAGAGCTCAAACTAGTACAAATACAACTCAAAACATTACACCTCATACCCCTAGCCCTTATCATAGGTCTGAGTTTGTAATATTGGGGCAAAGAAGTTTTGTCTGGTTTCCTGCAAGAATATTAAATATCAAGGCTTCGTATCAACTCGGACGTTTTATTGCCTTGGCTGTACCTTTGTGTGTTTCTCAATCGTCTTTTTTTTTTTTTTTTCCAAAGAATAAAACTAGGTCTATTGGGATAGTTCCTGTTATGGGTAGAGCTTTGTTCGTCAATCCTGTACCATTTATTGTTCAGTAGTGTTTCCATTAGTAAAAACTGTCCACAGTTATCAGTGGAACAAAGTGCCTAAAGCGATGGCTCGGGGTTCGACTGAACTTTGGCAGCATAGGTTGTCTGATGGAGTCTGGTGATGCAAAAAGAAATCAGAGATCCGTAACGTCAAATTTTATTTGATGTGGCGCTGTATAGGCGGAGGATTCTTTTATGGAGATGACCTGGTTTGCCTATATGAGGGAGAAATGTTTTTCTGGAAACACTGTGTACTTAACATCTAATTTATTAAACATAAAACATAGAAATACTTATACAATGGGGCCTCGACTGCCAATGCTAATCCGTTCCCAGAGACAGATCGGAAGTCAAAGCGAATTTTCCCATAAGAAATAAAGGGATTTGAATTAATCCGTTCCCCACCCTCCAAAATATTAACATAAAAATACATTTTATACTGAATACAATGTTTTTTTCTAACTACAATACAGTACCAAAGTTAATCTTACCTTTATGGAGGGCTCTTGATGGCGTATGGAAGATGATGGGGGAGGAGGAGAGTTGTTACTGTTTGGAAGGGGAGTCCCCTTCCATTATCACATCAGGCAGTGATGTTTTCTCTGGGGTACTCTCTCTCTCTCCTATGATTTGCCTGAATACCACTAGGACCTGGTTGTGGTTCAGTGCTTGTTTGTCTCACTACAAATTTGTCAAGAGACATTTGTTTTTCCATTCGTTTTAACATTTGTCTGTAATGATGCATCACTTTAGCACCTATAATGTCCTTTTTCTTAGCTAGTATGGTGGATATCGTTGACTGAGATTTGTTGTACTGCCTAGCCAGTTCACCTACCTGCACACCATCTTCATATTTACGAATGATCTCTTGTTTCTGCTCTATGGTCATTCTTACATGGGCTCTCATATGTTGAGCCTTACCACTGACTTTCCTGGGACTCATGGTGTATTATATAATAATTACTTTAATGTTCAAAATGCAAAAAATCACCACAAAAGCGGAATTTCTTACAGGCGCGATCGTCACTAAGCGGGTAACTGTAGTAAACTGAGGCAGGTCGGACCGCCTGACCGGGAACCACGCGCTCGGTCGACCCGAACGTGTACCAACAAATATCGGATGTCGACGACACCATCGGATGTCGAGTCGCATTTTTCGATGAAATTTATATCGTAACTCGAAATTATCGTAAGTAGGGGCAATCGTATGTCGAGGTGCCACTGTACTGTACATGGAAATGGAGTAATTGTCTTTAAAGAGGTGTCATAGGCAAATCTACATGCAGTATGTCATGCTCTAGACTCTGAAACACCTGACAGTTTTGGAGTTTGGGCAGGGTTTAGTTGTGGGTATAGCTCAACTTCTTCCAGAGTTTTGCCCCCCTTCTATCTTGACAGCAGATACAGTTGAACCATCCCTTCCTGCCAGGGATACAAAGCTTTCTGTTTCTCGGGGGGGGGGGGGGGGGGGGGGGGGGGGGGGGGGGTTTAGCTCCAATCCTTTAGTATGAGATGATGCCTTCCTTTCTGCTTTCTGCTCAGGCGTCGGGGTGAGAAACACGGCTCTGCTCTGGGGTCTCTTTCCCGGATTAACTTCCTTGTATGTACTGTCAAGAGTCCTTGGATATATGGGATCAGAACCCCCACTTCCTATATTACATGTAAACCTGTTTTTGGCACAGCTCTGAGGGAGTGTCTTGCAACCCATGCTTTTGCTGCCATTCTGTTTGTAATGTCCAGAGATTTAAACAAGAAAACCAGCTCTGAGGGAGTGTCTTGCAACCCATGCTTTTGCTGCCATTCTGTTTGTAATGTCCAGAGATTTAAACAAGAAAACTCAAATTGTGATTTAACTGCAGGCTAGTAATACATGAAACCTCTTTGCTTCACATAGAAAGCAATTATAAGACAATGGAAGAAATTGTTAATAGGTTAATTCCATTCCAGCCACATAGATGTTTATCAATACAGTAATTTGTATAACATTCAGGCAATAATGATTAAAATTGGCAAATGAATATAATTGCAGTGCCTTATGAAATGAACATATAATGATTATTGATCTTTAAAGGTAAATGTCACTGCAGTGTTATTCTGGTGCTAGGGAGACACCGGAGAAATGCTTATTCGGCCTAGTGACTACTGAGCACCTAGCTCACTAATAGCAAATTTGCCAACTTGGCTTCAGTTGCCAACAGCCTCTGCTTCGGGACTAGGTCCTTGGTTTTTTTGGCTGGTGGGCAAGCCTTGTTTTTGGTGGGGGAAGTGACTGCAGTTTAAGTCCAAGAATGAAAAGAAGGCCTCTTGGCATTTTTTTTTTTTCTCCCCCAAAAATATGGTGCTACCAAGTGGCCTTCTGGTAGCACCATATTTGAAGTTCTCCCATTAGTGTAGCTTCACCTCATTGTAGGAGGGGGGGGGGGGGCAGCTTAAATTGTACACTCGCTCATTTTTGTGTAATTAAGTTCTTTGCCTGCCAGGAACATTCGACTTTCCTCGGGTGGTTTCTGAGTGGGGTCAAGCTGGAGGATGGTAGAGTAAGTTATTGCATTTGTCTACTTTGGTGGCAACCTTATTAAAGATGCTTGCACTGATCCTTCAGGTTGCATTGCATGGCTGCTCTTGCTTTTTTTTTTTTTTTTTTTTTTTTTTTTTTTTTTTACCCTTAGCATTTTACTACAGGAGCACTGTGTTTACTTAGTTCCAAGAGTCTGGATGTTTTTACTGTTAAACTGCAGATGAAAAGTCATAATAATATAGCTGAAGATGAAAAGTCATAATATAGCTGAAGAAATGATGATAAAGCCATTAATCAGAAAATTAAGAAAAGGTGACATTTTGGTCCATCCCAGACCATTATCGAGTAATGGTTCAGGACAGACCAAAACGTCTCGATTTCTTAATTTTCTGATATGTGGTTTGGTCATTATAGTGTTAAACCCTTTACTGTCTCATTTGTGTTTTTTTCCTGAAGTACTTTAGGTTTTGGGTGACATAAGGGCATCCAAATGAAATGCATGATGTGCTCTTTGTGAAGGATGAGGCTCACAATTGCATTGCTAACAAGATTTTTTCCCTTGGTTTGTAAAGATGTTGTCTCTGCAGCTTCTGCAGCCGAGTATGAGCAGATCTTGCCTATTTCTGGGGGTTTGCCAGAGTTTTCCTGGTAAGCTCCACTTGCATATTGAGGGGTGGGTAACGTTTAAAGGCCTTTCAGTATGTTTGTACCCTGGCCACTATGCATCTACTTATGAAACCAGCACATATTTCAATAATCTTGGCACCTTTGTTTACAGTACATTTAATAAACAGTTTGGGAGTTTTGAAACTTCACAATTCAAGGTTATTATAAAAACCTTGTAGTGATTCAGAGCTCATTATCTGTTTATTAAAATGTAAACAAAGCAGTCATTATTGAGGAAAGATATACTGTACAGGTTTCTCGTGTAAGTGATTCATCAAGCCCCCAGGGCTTGATGAATCTAGGCCTCGGCCTAGATTTTATTCTATCGCTTGGTTTTCCTCGGTTGTGGGCAGCCGTTCTTTCTTTTACTGTGTTTACATTTGAGAGAGGTTGTACAAAGGTGGGTGGTTGGCATGATTCACTCTTTGGGTTCAATCTTGGTTCCTACCTGTGGTGTAGAAAAACTTGTTCACTGTAGTTTGTCCAATCTCGGGTACATCATACACTCTGTCCTGTCACTTCCTTGTACTGATACAGTATTTTTAAGAATTCGTGGTCTCAATATACGTCTCTTCTTTAACACTCGCACCATGCTAACTTTTACTGTGACCCATGTTTGTTGGCTTCGTGTACATGACTTTTGTAAATTTGATGCTCTCAAGGCATTCCTGCCAGTGATGTCCTGTTTAGACATAAACATTTAAGGCTTCTGGTAGTCAAATTGCAAATGTTCTCTAAATGCTTTCTCAAGAGTGTCTAACTACATTATCAGTGTTCCAACTAGCATGACTCATTTCCAGATAGTATTCTTTTGCACTACTGTCAAATTCCTGAGTACCCTGTAGCATTTTTTTCAGATCTCCATCTGGTATGCTTCTTAAGACAGGAACTAGGCAGAAGTGAAAACTGCATCAAGCAATAAAATGAATGAGGAAATCTTACCAGAGCTACAGAGTGGATTCCCACTTTGCAGCTAGGTTCAGATTTCCTCATTGTTTTTTTAGTGTTTTTTTTCTTGACCATCTTGGGAAGCATCTAAGTGGAATATCTGGAAAATCAGGCTTTGAGTGAATGTGAAATGCCTCTCATTTTTTCCCTCGAATCCTTTATTGTTCTTTTTGTAGTTTTTCTTTGTTGGTCAGAATGTGGTGGGGCTGGTGAATGGTGACCTGGTGTTTGGAAGAGTGTGGCCACCTGATTCCAATTGGGGTAAATGGCCAGACGAGCAACCTGTAGCTTGAGAGAGCACAACTTGGCAGGCCTTGCGATGCCAAGTAGGAAAGGTCTTTTATTGTTTGTAAGTTAATTTTATATAGTCACATTGAGTCGCATAGATCTTCTCTAGTGCTTCCATAGCACTAGTATGGCCCAACATGGATGTTTGAAAAGTTCTCTGTTGCTCTGGTACAGAACATCACCCTACCCATACTGTCATGATCCTGACCAATGCCACCTTCAACAATTTTGTTCTTGGGAACATTAAGGTGTCGTGCTCAGGAGGCAGCTTTTCATTTTCACTCGATACCTGCCTTTTATGGTAGAATTTTTAAATGTGTACCAGCATGAAAGTTATGGTATCCTAGTTAGGATTTTTTTTTTTTTTTTTTTTTTTTTTTTTTTTTTTTTTGTTTTTGAAGATATATACAAGAGTTGTTATATTCTTGTACAGCCACTAGTACGCGTAGCGTTTCGGGCAGGTCCCTGGAATACGATCCCCTGCCGCGAAGAATCGTTTTTTCATCCAAGTACACATTTTACTGTTGTGTTAAACAGAGGCTACAGTTAAGGAATTGCGCCCAGTAAATCCTCCCCGGCCAGGATACGAACCCATGACATAGTGCTCGCGGAACGCCAGGCGAGTGTCTTACCACTACACCACGGAGACTGCGGATATGCATTTCATGCATACTGTGCTCAAAATACATTATACAGTATATCTTAATTTTGTTAGTATGTGTTTGGTTACATTTGGATAGGTTAGGCTGGGCTGGGTTACCTTAGGCAGTTGGACATGTTTAACCCCTGGGATGCTCTTGTGATTATAGCCTGCAACACACCCAGGTGCAAGAAATAAAAAAATATATATTATTTTTTTTTTGTCTTATAAAAGTGTTCATTTGTTTCCCGACCACATGAGAGGGTGGGAGGGGGTGAATTGTAGGTGACATATTTTGGCCACAATAGGGCAAGGAAGTCTGGCAAAAGAGGTGTTGACAGACTAATCATTGGAGGCGGTCGGCTCAGGCCAAGCTGTCAGGTGAGTTTTCACAAAGATATTGCCTAATTATTTCAATGTCTGATTTTTTCTTATTTTTTTTAGTAATATTCAATAGTGTGTAATGTGATATATTTATATAATAAAATGTGTGAATCATTGCTATACTCAAAAGTATGGTGTGCATATTAGTGATTCAATTATGTTCATAACACAATAAACAAATAGTTTTGCTGTTATATATAACCTGTGTATATAGTGTAATAAGTATCTGCATGTTTTGTTCACCATAATAAGCCACTAACTTGGTATGGTGAGTCAAATCAACGAGTGACCACCACACACACACAAGCCAGCAAACTCCGCCACCGTCCCTCCCTCGCCTGCACCTCACTCGCCAACATTCCTCCTTCCATCATACTCTTTTTTTTGCTTTTATTCACTATATATATATAGACATGTCTGTACATAGTTAATAAAAGCAAAAACGGTATGGTGGGAGGAGGAATGTTAGTGCGTCTGATCTTGAACTAGTAAGGGGGGGAGGGAGGGAGTGTCAGCTGACTGTGTGGCAACCTCTGTTATTGACTGAACTCAATATACCAGCTTAGTTGTACAAAGCTGGTATGGCGAGTTAAGACAGTAACAGAGGTTGCCACACAGTCAGCTGACACTCCCTCCCTCCCTTGTTCAAGACCAGATGCACTAACACTCCTCCTCCCACCATACTGTTTTTTCTTTTATTCACTATATACAGACACATATAAGTATCTAGATGTTTTATTACCATGACTGTACAACTAAGCTGGTATGGTTCCCAAACAGCATAGTGGCCACCCTACACAGCATGACATGTCATGCAGACGACATCACCTCCCTCACCAAAATGGGTCTTCCCAACATACCCCCTTTTGCTGTTATATCACTAGTACACATGTTATATGTAAGTATCTACATTTGTATTCATCATAGCGAACCACTGAGCTGGTATGGTGAGTGCAGACAATAACAGGTGGCCACACCGTCAGCAGACAACACTACCTCCCTCCCTCCCTCAGCATTACTCCTCTCACCGTACTATGCACAGTGCTAATTATCACAACAATCCTGCTACAGTATTTTCAGAATCCTGGTCATTTTTATGAGTCAGGGGTCTTCTGTAATACAAGGGTATCTGGGTTTTCGTAGTTAATCCGTTCCCAGAGACGGTACAAAAAAAAATATGAATACTGAGACGAATGAACAAATCCACAAGGGCCGTGACGAGGATTCGAACCTGCGTCGGAGAGCATCCCAGACGCTGCCTTAATCGACTGAGCTACGACATGGTTCGTAGCTTTTGTTCATTTGATGCATCACGCAATTGTGATTTGTGTGTACCGAGACGAATTTTCCCACAAGAAATAATGTAAATTGAATTAGTCTGTTCCACACCCTCCAAAATATTACCTAAAAAATACATTTTATACAGAAAACTACTCATAGTACCTTACCTTTATGGAGGACTCTTGTTGGCATACAGAAGATGATGATGAGGAGAGGGAGAGGTGAGTGTGTTTGGAAGGGAAGTCCCCGTCCATTATAATATCAGGCAGAGATGACATTTCTGGTGCACACTCTTACGTTTTGCCTGCATACCACTAGGACCTGGTTGTGGCTCACAGCTTGTTTTTCTCACTAAAAACCTGTCTAGGGATACTTGTTTTTTCCCTACGTTGAATCACTTGTCTGAAGTGAGACATCACATTGTCATTAGAAAAGTTAACACAACGGCCTGCTACAGCTTTATTTAGGTGAGCCTTTTCAACAAAACTTTGCATTTCTTCCCATATTGTACACCATTTCTTCCCATATTGTACACCATTTCTTAGTATTGAGGAAGGGAAATCCTCTGCTGCCTCCTCCTCCCCTGAAAAAATGTCCTCGGCTGCCTCTTGTTGCTGCCCCTTTTGAAGGACTAGGAGTTCGTCGGTAGTCAGTTCTTCACTGTGTTTCTCCACCTACTCCTCCACATCAGCACCATCCAACTCAAAGCCCAACTGCCTTGGTTGCTCACTCAGTACTGAGGCTCTCACACCTGGGAATGTTGTCCACAATTTTTTTTTTTAAATGGCATCTGTTTACAAGAGCCCTAAGGAAGCTGACGTGAACTCAGTGCTGCCATGGGTTTTAAATCTTACGTGGTACTCCCAACCATACATAGCTGTGGTGCGCAGTCCCGCGATAGTTAACTCACCCCAGCTACAGATGTATTGCGTGGTTTAAGTGTTAAATAATGGTGATGACGTAAAGTGATGTTGGTACGTACTTTTCTCAGATTGTAGACCCTACTTGATTTTTATAGACGTTGTATTTTAATTTTTTAATGGGTGGTACATTTATCATGCATTATTGGTCAAAGCAACTTTTTCAACAGATTCTGGTAGGACGAGAGATCCCAACTTGGGTAAATCGGCTGGCATACGTTTCTTCATGTGTTCCATTTCTTCAACGGTGTCTCCCTAAGGAGTGGTTAACTCCTGTAGCACTCCAACAATCTATTGAAAGGCCTTCCCCAGACTCCCCAACATCTCCGCACCCTCCCTCTTCCAATTCCCCAAGTTCTGCTACCCGAGACAGGATTCCACACACTGCAACTCCAAGGAATCACCGCTCCACAACCCACTCTCGTAACTCTTTGTAACCTGTAATGTGTGCTATGTTAATGGTGACTGTTCATCGTTTTGCCGATGTTTTTCTGACAGAATGAAGTGTATGGAAGTTATTTGACAAAATGTATAAAGTGAATGCAAGTTTAACGAGTGTTTTTATAAGGTTATTTTAGATATGTTATGATCTGTGTTTTCATGCTACATATAGTTTTGATAATAAAAAAACAAAAAGTTAAATTAACAATTATATTGCATGCCTGGCTGCAGTGCCAATGCTGATTGATGGCCATTGGTTACTGCAACAATGGCTATAGACTACAATGTAAAACAAAGGACGACATGTGACTAAGGGTCGTAGCTCTTCTCGTGAAATCTATAGAAACTAATATTAGTGCCATAAATTAAGCAGTTTAAGAGAAGACTCGCGATACTTGGGCCATCCACACACACGTTGCAGTGGGAGTATCATTTACACATTGCTGTAAAGTATTAATCATAATATTTGGGTTGGAATTTCAGTCCATGTTTAAAATGCTGCTACTAAATGATCTTGTATGTAGCATATGTGCTTTGGGGGAGGGGGGGGGAGGGAAAAGCACAATTTCAGTCCAAATTATGTTAGTTATTTTCTCAGTGAATTCAGTATCCAGTACAGTACCTTGTATGTAGTCTCGTCTTCTTGTTGATTCACAGACATGTTGCATCCTTGTGGGCTATATTAAAAATATACGCATTTGTTAAACATGAAATAGCACTGTTACTTGTTGCAAATGAAATGAATCAATATTTGCATGGGGGAAAAACAAAAGATATACAGTATAATTTTAGGTACATGAAAGTTGTTTCATAGGTGACATTACAGAATCACCATATAGTAAAGGATATTTCCTGAGATAAAACAAAATAGTGTGGTCCCCCAGGGTTTTGGAAGTCATTTTTTTAGCACCCATTGCTACCGTCAAACCTGACCATCCCTGAAATGTGTACATTTACAGTATGTGTATTAAAACGTTATGTGCTTATTATTATGAGCATTACGCACCAAGCTTTTAAATGCATGGTACATCCAGAGTTTTCTAAAAACACTTGGAGAAGATACCCTTCCATTATAAGGAAGGAGAATATTAACAAATGTATGGTAGTTAACATAAGGTTATTTGAATTCGTCTCTGCTCTCTTTAATTTTTTCCTAGCTGTGTTTAGTAATTTTGCTATATATCAAAATATTTGAGAGCCAAAAAATGTGTAGCTGAGCTTTATATAATCAGGGGTATTAAGAACAAATTTGTTGCTTTAAAACTATGCAGCTCATGATATATTGGGTTGGTGTGCCCTTTGTGTTATCCCTCAGTGAGGGTAATTTGTTGTGTGTCTTAAAGACATGTAATGAATGTGCTTAATTTCTTGGGGGATGACATTGTTATGTTATGATCCCTGGATTTCACTCTCAGGTCTCACTGCCAACAGATGAAGAGAAATGCAGAAGGGTTGAGTTAAGCAGCCATACACAGATTCACGAATCTGGAAATGGGCCTCGTCATATCTGTAGTTTGGCTCACCCGTGCATGTGTGTGTGCATGTGTGTGTGCGCGTGTATGTGATACCACAGGTTCACATGCTCTGACAGATATCCTTTCTTACTCTGCACAGTACAAATAAACATTTAAAAATGTGCTAAATATTTAGGTACTAAAATACCTTTGGAAAACAAAAGTGACATTCCAATTCTATATTTTAATTATTGTTCTAGATCCAATAGAATATGCTTAGAATTTTCTCAATTTATTGTGCAGTGTCCTTTGGAAGTGCTGCAGTTAGACAGTACAACACCAGCAGGAAGTTAAAGGATAGGGAGTCTCATATTGTTTTGCAATACAATTTTTTGCCAAAACAGTGTTGAAAGTATTTTTAACATACTATAAATAGCATTTATTTTAAATTTGGATTGATCAAACTTGTGTAAATATCCAAAAAGTGTCACATTTTCTAGACTAAACTGACAGTCTGTGCAGCTTTTCTTTCTTTTTGTTTGTTTTCCTTACCAGAAGTTAGGGCATTATAATGCTAAGTTTGGCAGTTTTTACCACATGTACTCATTTTAATAGGACTTAAAGTCCAGCATGCAAAATATTGAACATCCTGCGAAGCCTAGCGTGGCGTAATGAAACGTCATTATGGGCATGTGACTCGCGACAAAGTGTATAAAATTTATTTGACGTCCATTACCCTTTAGTGACTGGAAGGCAGGGTGATACATTTACAAATTTTTTAGCTGAATTTAGAAATCTTGGGTACAGACTTGGGTACAGATTTTTGTATGTATGTTAATTAAATTATAGTTTAATTTTTTCTTTATTTGCTTCTACTACAATTATATATTTTCTATCGAGGTGAATTACTAATTTCCATATTCTAGAGCTGGAGAATGGGACTTATTGTGAGCTTTTATCGCAGGTCATGAATTTAAATGTCCATGTTACCTGTACTCTTGTGCCAAGTCTGTATACAAAGTTGTTCATAGTATTCTACAATAATCTTTGATAAACTAAATTCTCAAATCCCATCCAGAAGAATGGAATATTTGCCTGAACTGCTCTTGAAATGATTGGCGATGTAAATGCATCCGTAGGCATTTTTAATGCGATACATAGTTTTAAAAGTTTTATACCCTTTTTGTAGCTGCCTCAACCAAAAATTAACCAATCAGTATCTGCTGTCTTGGTATGGCATGTCTCCAATGATACTGTTAATGTTTTAAGTGAACAGTCATACAAAATAGTGTGTGTGTGTGTGCGTGTGTGAAAACTTGTCGTTTTTCTCATTCGTGGGAATAATGTAAGTTTTCTAATTATTGGATAAGCTAAGTATAGGACTTTTGCACATCTTCCATTGTATATGAGTTAGATATTGAACTAAACTATTATCAGGGAAACTTAATGTGTCAGATGTGCTGTACATTGTCTTTGTCTTTTAAGCTTTGTGGTATAGATTTTGTACTGATCCACTGTGTTTAATAGCAAAGACACTTTTTACACAAATGAAATTGATGCTATATGCATATGCTGCAGGAAGTTTGCTAACTTACTAAGTAAGCCATGCATGACTGGTTTTTTAGTTCATGATTTTGCTTGCTACAATTTGATGTGTAGCTAGTGTAATTTATGGCACATTATTAGGTCTGATTAGTTTGGTTTGTCATTACAACTTTGTACAGATAAGAATTCGCTTGTTTTCATTTTCAGTTTGTGACCATTATTTGGTTTTAGTAGTTTACTTTGCCTGTAGTAATATTAATGCCTATATATATATATAAATATAATTTTATTTTATTTTTGCTTATTAGCTTTTTAATTTTTTGTAATGTGTATAGTTTGTTTTGGATTAAACTGTTCAAAAATTAAAGTTTTTTTTTCTAACTATTAGCATGGTGGCTGTCTATTTTTATAATTGAATCTCTTGCTGGCACATGAAACAACGGCTTCTAATACGAGTCATACAAGTAATCTAATTTACATTTAGTTTGTACTAGATCATGGTTTGTAAATCTGGGAAGACCGATATGCTTCAATTGTGCGAGTACAATCTGAAACATATTATAATTCGTATGAGTTATAAGATGTAGAATTATTAATGATTTAACATTTTGTTGGTGTGCTCGTCAAGTTTCAATTGGGAGCCTGACTTGGCTCTTGAGTACCGCCTCATAGCTACTCGACCTGGTACAGTTAGTCCTCTCGATGTTCCAGCGCACTATTGTACTTCCTCTTGAAGTTGTGATTAGAAATCATGTCTACCACTTCTACTCCCATTCTACTCGCTCATCGTTCTCAGTACATAAGGTATTTTCTTGCATACATGTCTAATTGTTTTAAAATTTTTACCTGTGCCACCTATGTTGTGTAGTTTCGCCACCTGGAAAGAGTTTCTATCCACTTTGTTCTCTTCAGTATTTTGTACATTATGATCATACTGCCTCTGGTCTTTGTATTATTGTTCTCGTGCTGTATATTTTAGATGGACATGATGTACCACACTGTGTATGGTGTTTTAAGATTTCTGGTTTAAGCTCCTGAATGCTATACTTTTGCTAGTTATTATTTACATATGATGATATTCTGTTAATATGGTTTAACTTATGGTTTCAAATAGTCAGGGACAAGCTTTCTAAGATTCTAGAGGTTCCCCTAGACAACTACTAACCTTCCTCACGATGCAACCCCACAACAGTTGCACGACTCCTGGGTGCCTATTTACTGCTAAGTGAACAGAGGCATCAGGTGAAAGGAAACATTGCCTAAACGCTTCTTTACTTCTATAGAAATCAATCTCGGAACTTTTTTTTTGGCTGTGACCAGTCTGCACTCGCCACTGTGCCACTGAACCCTATGTGCCTCGTATGTTAAGGCTGGCATTACATGTACAGTACTGTGTACAGTATATCCAATTCCAGGTTTTTTATTTTTCCCTTTTGATTCTTGTAAATGCTTCCATCTGTATTACACTGTCGTTTTGACTTTCTCTGCCTCATTACTATAATTTGTTCAAATTTAACTAGAGTAACCATGTGTATGCCTATACCTGCAGCTTATCTAGGTCCTGTATAGTCATGCAGTTGCCTTCAGTCTTTACCTTTTCCTCTGAGCATCATCTGCAAACATAGTCATAGGTTTGTCGCCTTTGGTTATAATAAATATTTTAATATCTACATGATGATCTTTATTTGTTCTCACTTGCATAATACCAAGAATAAGTTGTTTACATGCTGGTTTCCTTTGAGTCCTGCATCACTTGATACACTCCATGTTGAACCCAATACCTTTGATATTACTCGGCTTCTGTTGTTTTACTCGTGTTGGCGTTCTGAATTTATGAATTTTTTCTTATTTTTGTGTCGCAGATGGTGTTACGTAGTCTTCCGGCCTTGGCGTCATTTTTTTGGCAATTAATGTACTAGTTTACGTGCATACTAATCTTTCCTCTTTTTATGGAACAAATGTTTTAATGTTCCTTTGTTGCTATTTCTGCTTATTATTGGGGCTTTGTCCATAACCATTTTCTTTTTTGACTATACTGTAATAATAATGTCTCTTGCAGTGTATTCTACCTGTGTGTATATATTTAAGTATACAGTATTTATGTAGAATATTTATATTTGTACAGTTAGAAGGGTACCATCTAGTTGGATTGGGGACCCATAGTTTCTGGGAGGGAAAAAACAAAAATCAAAGGGACCACAATGTGATTTATATTAATTATTTCTGCTTCACCCCTTCTTATATACAGTAAATATATATGATGAGCACAAAGTCAAGATGCAGATCTTAAAAAAGAAAAATGCAATTGAACCACATAGAAAGGATGTATTATTACTTGAGCATGCTTTTGGGAGCAATTTCCTTTGTGTGAGATAAGAGAGAACTAACAGACAAGGGGAGATAGTGAGATTTAAGGTAGAGGAGGAAAGTCATAAATGAGGCATAGGGATGGTGGATGAGAGAAGGGGATGTTGGCACTATGAGGAAGGCAGCATGGGAACAACGATGAGGAAATGGAAGACTGACAGAGCTCAAGCTTGCCAAGAATTGGTGATGAGGAATAATATTAATAGCCTGCAGTGTAGTGTAGAAGAAACAATTTTTTTTTTTTACAGAGAACATGAGATGGGGAAACAAAGAAAATGGTTACATATGATAAACTAACCTATTCAACTCGATAGCAATAAATTGGTGAAAATTAAACTGTTCCCAGGCGAGATAAAACATCCACTAATTCTGAGTTTTCCTGTTAGGAAGTACAGGGCAGGCCAAACTGAAAGCTAGTTACCTAAAGGGATCCATTAAAACAAACCATTACCCAAGGTATTTTGAATATCAAGCCGTGTGGGCTATACTTTGAAGCATCTTTCCTGAGCGCAGTATTTCAATGCAGGGCTTCTTTGCTGTTCAAAGATTGGGGGAGGGGGGAGTTACTGTCTAGGATGGCTAGTTGGTAAATGAATGAAGTGCCACATGCATAATTTTACTCTAATGTTGCTAATTTTGTGTTCCCAATTACATTTTTGACATCCTTGTTCCCATAATAGACTACTATTACTATGAGACAAGCCTTGTAAAATATTTTTGCTGGATATTTCCTCCAATTTCATATTTAATGACTTTCTGAAGTACTGTACAATAATTTAAATGTTTTAATAAATCTATATTACTTTAAGAGATGTCTCGAGCTATAAAAAAAAAAAAAAAAAAAAAAAAAAAAAGACCCAATTGCAATATTTGGGGGGGCTTCTGAGGAAATTGGAAAATTTGTGTTAATCCTCCAGAGCTTTTCCTCTCGGTCTGTATCTTGAGTTTGCATCCGGACCCCTTTATTCATCTCTTATCTCCGATATGATAGCGGGTCTCCCAAGGACAAATACTTCCATCTTCATAATTACCTTTTAATGGTTCAATTCTCGCCTTTCCATGGTTTATTTCGTGCTTTATGTTGATCTCAATATTTGCAGTACAGTACTAATATTTACCTTCTCCAGCTCCTACTTGCTATTGACAGTGGCATCATCCAGGGCTACTGAACACGACTTTAAATTTTCTACTACAAAAACTTGGGCTATTACTTGCTACTAAGGAAACTTATCAAATGTCCACATTTAACACTTTTAAGGAAGTTCAAATGCCTTTTCCTAGAAGTTAAGTGGAAAGGAAATTTGTAGTGATTACTTATGAGACGGTGGAAGTAATTAAGAAGGTTAAGGGTGGTGGTGTTGAGGGCAGGTGACTCTGATTAACAGCTCCTGCACCAGAGATGACCAAGTCAGTGTTGCAGAAATGGTGACACTAATTAGGAGGTGGAGAGGGAAGAAAGTATGCCTTATAGGAAGTATAATGGATATTATAAGCTTCTTAATTTTGGTAAGTGTAGAACTGATTTCAGTACAGTGCAGTACTCAAGAGATAAGGAATATATATAATTCATAAACAGTATTCACATTTTGAATATTAGAAGATTAACACTAAAAAAAAAAAAATTGGTGAGAAAGTGGACATTGAGGTGTTTAATGTTCTTCACCAGGTAATCCTGGTGCTTCAAAATGTATTCCTAGCTCAAATAAAACCACTATAAAAACTTCACCTGAAAAAATAAGTTGTACAAAAATGTCGGTGAAAAATGTTATACAAAAAAGTTGGTGACCTCAAAGAAGCAGTCATGACGGTAAAGAATTTTCTAGCTACACGAGGCACTTGTAGAACATATTATCCACTGTCATCTCTGATTTTAAAATAAGGAAAGAAGATTAAAGATGTTCAATATGATTCCATCCATTCACCACACCTTCCACATAGTACAGGGAACCAACCCCAGCACCATTACCTTCCAGGAAATCTTCTATATCAATATCTGTACCATAGGGGAGCAAGTCCTATTATTACCCCATGGTGTTCCGTGCATCATGAAGACAATGCACAATGTGCATAACATATGTGCGTGCACAAATAACTAGTACACATTCACACGATACTGAATAACTGAACTGGCTCCAGAACTTGACCCCACCACTTCATACACTTTTAATATAGGAAGAATTCCTAAGACCTGGAACTTAAAGAACAAGAGGTCATAGATTTCAACTAACTAAACAAAGGTGCCAAAGAAATATAAGAAAATTCACTTTCGTAAATAGTGGTAGATGGTTGGGACAAGTTAGGTGAGAAGGTGGTAGAGGCCAAAACCGTCGGTAATTTCAAAGCGTTTTACGAGTGCTGGGAAGGCAGGACACCACGAGAGTAGCTCTCGTCCT